ATCCTTTATCAGTGTTAAGTCATCAGTCTGACAGGATGGCACAAATTCCATTTGCCATAATAATGATTCCCTACCTTGAGACACCCTATTTTAAAATTGTTACACAACAATAGTTCTAGAATCAATTCTAATTACCAAGGCAATGATAGTTATAATTACCATTATAATGGATAAAGAGAGCAAGGACATAAAAGCAGGCCCAGATATAACACCAAGATCTTGGCCTAATCACTTTTTAAGTGATGTCTTCAGGATTTCATTAGGTATGCTGAATCCCCCTAAATGTAATACCACAGAAGGACAGAGTTTCGAGGTTTTTTTGAAGCAAAGTTAAGATAGCCATAAATCCATGAACTAAGCAACTATGTAAACCTTCTTTTGACAGATGAGAAAGCCTCGGATAAAAGACATACACCTACACACATCCACATGCAGGAAGGACTTCTCAAATAATGTGTTCTTCCCTCAGAAAAAAATCTCAAAATTAACCTTTGGCACAACATTACAATGATTTTTGCACAACACCATCACATCAGATTGCCCACTGTCAGCACTCACAGACTGCAGCACAGTAGAAAGCTGAGAACACAGCAGTGATCCATTTAACAGAATTTTGAAACATATAAAATATAGCAATCGTCTTTTTCAGTTGTATATCATCATACAGCAAGATACTCTGGGGGTATTACCATTCTACATGTATTTAAAGGAAACAAGCTCTTAACTGTGTGGCTTTTTGATGAATTTTCAGCCAAATTAGAAGTTAAGGTCAGCAGACAAGCTTAGTAGTGTGCTCTGCAATAAAGAGTGCTCTGCTATAACCGATTAAGCTTTATTAATGCTGCATGGCAAGTACAGATGACTATCTAATGCCTACACATTAGCAATATAAAGGGCAAAAAATTATCCTCATATAATTCTCGGATAAATCTCACTTGCCTTGCACGTAAAGCAAGCAAATCGGGCTACACATCAGAAATTGGTTAAGTAGATTCAACACAGGGGACAAAAAGAAAAGACCATACTCAAATACCAAAATTACATAATCCATAAAACCTCTGGCCTACTTTGAGGGATTAAGTTACAGAAAGTATTTTAAAGCGGGATCTGGGTATGGAAGATGATGCCATTTCATGCACAGGGCGAGAGAAAGTTCCCCATTTAGGAGGAGGCGGGAAACATGAATTGTCGTACAAGAACACTAGATTTCATTTAAACCCTAGCATTAAAATATTTAGAAGTTGAAAATAATTCAGAGATGAACAATTCTTATAAAACATAGAACTTCAGCTCAGGAGAAAGGTCTCTGCACAAGTCAAGCAAAAAGCAGTCATTACCAATGCATAGAAGTGTTAGATCAATTTTGAGGTGATTACACGTATGCTGAAAAGTTAACATTACTAGTTAATCTTTATTTTAGCACCATAATCTCTAAGAAAAAGGTCAACTAGGAATCCACCACAGGCAACTGAAAGCAGAGGGAACTCTCAGAATAAAACTATCTGGGATCAGGCCTTGCCGGATCATTGTCCTGCATCACCTTAAGCAAAAATCCAACCAGTTATAGGTCAAAGGAAAATTACCAAAAAATAACTCTCCCATCCCCTAAAAATATACAAAGGAAAGTAAAGCATGACCACGTCATATCTTGCACGTGTTTTCTTCAAAAATTGTGAATTGAACCAAAACCAAAAATTAGCTAACAGCTGCTTACCACAAGACCAGCTTCAACTTGCCCTCCTTGTTATCCACTATCAAGCAGCTTCACATGTCAGAGGTGGCTAGTTGATAGGAAAGACACAGCACAGGAACTTGGAACATGAACTGAACTTCAGGACTGTAGCTTTACACCCTACAGATAAGCAAGAGTTCTATTTTCATACCAAAACAATACATGAAGTCTTTCTACGTAGTTAGCTATCACTGAATAGAAGTAATTTTCAAATTAGATCTATTGGTATAAGGGGGGGGGCGGGGGGGGGGAAGCTGTGAAGTTATTCAACTTTTGAGATTTCCCATTAGAAACTTTGTACGCTCCTACCATGGATAAATACTACCATGAAGATATTTTGGCAGCAATCCTAAACCTCCAGAACCTCTTGGTATTTGGCACATTTTGAAGTGGGGTAAAATAAATTTCATGGTCTTTTGATTATCCACACACTCCATTAGGTTCCAGAGATTTAGTAAATACCACAAAAATGATGGTATATCAACATTTGGCATTTTTTTTCCTTCCCCCACCATGAACTAGGCCACAAAATTAACAGTCCTTTTTAAAGAATACTAGTACAGCAAATGACCTCCTATAGTGAACACCGCTTTTCTATTCTCCCTTGGAAACCTCTCAAACAGCTTGCCTGCAATTTTTTCTAGGAAAAAAAAACATATCCCAAGTAAAGCAAAACAAAGATTGCAACAGACACAGCGATCACTGGGGATTTACCCTCCTGCATACATCAAATTCCCAGAAGAAAGTCTACTGGTGAGGCTGACCACCCATGAAAATTACCACTGCATGGCACTCCAACTGGTAAAGGAGAAGGGGCAATCTGCAGAGGCATCCTCAGATTCCCAGTGTACCCACATCTTTTTGCAGTAGCATAACTATTCTGCTTAGGGTTAAACTTTTTATTACAGTAAGATTGCACCCGAAAAAGCCCTCTCATGAGCACCATTTACTAATATGGATGTGTCTCATAACATCTATCCAACTCTCCACCTACATCGGGGTAAGTCGTGCTGGTATAATAAAAGCAGAACAACTTTTACTGCTTGCATAAATCCCAGTTCTGTTTTCCCACGTTTATGCAGACCACATGGTCTCGTCCGATGCTGCTGCTCCGGACTTGAGCTATTTTAAATCAATTCTCCAAGAATCTGAAAGATAGTTGACTAAACCTCACTGAACTCCGAGGTACAGCATGCTAAACTGCTATGGACACCCATGTGCCATGTCCAGACCCACTTTTTTCACCCTCTGGCTGCAGCAAGGCAGCAGAGCCTTGCTATAGGACTGATTCACTGAGAAACTGGAGACAGTGAGTTCTGATCACAGAGGAAGAACTATCATACTCCATCCACACCATCTCACAGTGATTTTAATAAAGAATCGATTCTAAAACTCATTGAAATTTATGTAGGGCTTTAATCCGCTTGGGTAGCAGCCTTCCCCGTCCCCATCTCTCCCGCCGGCAGAAGCCCGGCCCGTTTCCCTCCCTGGTCCGCAGGCGGTACCACAGCTCCGGCCTGCGTGCCA